ACTGTATCTGTCTTTGGCCGGTGTGTCTGATTGATAACAGTGCAGTGGGAGAAAAGACAGACAAGGACACCACTGGCATTTGACCATGTTTCACTATGGTATGTGAATACCACAGCTCACAAAGCAGCCAAGAATAAATTCTATCTATCAGATGCTCTACATACAAATATTGCTCTCTTGGAATAAGTGCTCACACTTGGAATAGTGTGAACACTTAAACACTTCAGCCATTCTTGAGTCCCCTTGACTGATTCTTTAACTTCTTTCCTGGTTTTTAGATAACTAACATTACCAGATATTAAGAGGACGTCTGATGAACATCTCATCTGTAAGCTGAAATACTTTATCTCAGTTGTTACCTACAACTTAGGCTACTAAACAGCTGGAAAGTATCCAAATGATTAATCGTCCAACTTTGATAATTTGATAAAGACATTCTAATCAGCTACGAAAACCTAAACTTAAACATCAACATGATGTAAAACTTTGCGCACCAGACAGAATTAACTACTCAAGTCACAAATTTAATCAATTCCAATTCTTTCTAATGAAGAATGAGTGTTAGTGTTGGCTTAAACTCCCAAAAAACGTCCTTATAATGCAGCTGGTGTAATAAACAAAAAGTTGCTAAACAAAAGGCACTTTGCTGAATCCATAAAATGAAAGTTAATTCCAAACTATAGTTTCATAAGGCTGCAATGAAATATTTCCATATTGAGCTTAATTTTAATGATACATTTACAACACCCAGTGGAATCATTGCGTCATATACACATGATGCAAAATGAAACCAGATCCAGGCACACCTGCTCGTTTCGTTCTTCAGTAAGCATCCACGCTTGACAGTTGCTTTGGGTGAATTGGGATATTTATAGGAGAAGGTGTGGTGATGAATCATTACCTCTTCAGTCAGTTACATTACTCATCTCATAACTTTTAAACAGCTGTGCCAATCACGGTGGCACTGATAAAAGTGGCTCACCAAATGAAAGGAAGAGTCCAGACCGAAAAAGAAAAATTTTCTTGTCCAGAAGGTGCAGAGTGGCAACCTTATAATAAATGCAATTCATCTTCATATTCAGGGTGCAAAGCCCAGATGATAAACCTCTATTTGATTTTTTTTTTTTTTACCCTTTATAGAGATATCGAATGACGGTTCATTATTTTTTCAATCTGTCATAAAAGCACAGTTGTATTGTAAAAGAGACACTGATCTGTTTTATAACCAACCTGTATATACAGTGTAAAATGACTTGCATTGTCATTCTGGTTCTTTTCACTTTGTTTGATTTAGAAAATTAACAAAGTTAGACTCATTTAGTTTTGGCTGCTTCTGAATGTTCTAAAAAACCCACAACTGCCAAAAGTGTGATTGAGCATTGCCCCCTTTAAGCCGTACATAAACGAGCAATTTTCCACAAACTCCTGTTTGCATGACTTCTACTAGAAAATTGTGCAAATGTTTTCCTG